CTGGATGCCTACCTGGCTGGACTCATTTGAGTCCCGTTTTTGTTTTGGGGTTTTGTTGTTCTCCCGCCCTGGCGGGGGGTCGGGCTAGAAGATCTACTAGGTCCCTTCCGACCCTAAATCTATGAAACTATGATTAGAGAGGGACCCCCCTCCCTTCTGACCAGCCCGGCACGGAAAAAAAACAAACAGAGAGACATTACCAGCTACCTGTTGATTCTGCCTTTGTCTCGTTTCCCATAGCATGGACTGACCATACGCAGCATGTGGTCTGCTACCTAATGCTGAGAGGTGTCTGTGTAAGGCAGAGGGGATGGGATAATCCCTGCTTAGCAAGGAGTGGGGAGGGGGAGCAGGGAGAAGCCAGGCAGATGTCTGCAGTCTCTGCTGAGCTCCAGCCAGGAAGCAGAGGGGAGGGGCCAGTCCTACTGTGCAGGAGATGATCCCTGCCCAGCCCAGAGAGCATGCAGGGGTGCTGGGGGAGTCTGGTTTAACTTAAACCAGCAAGGGGTCTGGGACAGACATTGCATAAGCGGGTTTGACCCAAACCAGTTAAGTCTGATACTACATTCAACCAGGTTTATCTCAGCCATTTTCAAACTGGTTTATGTGCACTGAACATCTGTTCTGGTATAGGTTTAAACCAGTTTCTGATTACTTAAACTGGTTTATGTATGATGTCTGTCCCTGCACTAGGCACAGACCTCACTTCTTAGGCTTTGGCACCCTGCACCAAATTCTGTGCCGCCTAAGCTACAGAACTACTTATTACACTGGGTGGCTGAGTGGGTGAAAGGTGGCTGGGAGCTGGAACTGGAGCCTTGTGCACTGGGGGCTGCAACTCCATCCACCCCTTACCCCAGGCCTGCAGTCCCCAGAACATGTCCCCACATCTGCTCCCGCTTCCCCACACTGCCTGCTGCCAGAGCAGTGCAGCAGGGGCAGGAGGAAGAGAAGGAGCCAAGCAGTAACTGGGCACAGCGGGAGCAGCCCCACCAGAAAGCTGCATGTGTGGGCTAGGGCTGAGGCCATTGGCGGGTGCAGGTGGGAGTGTGGCATGGACTGCCCTGAGCAGAAGCAGGTGGGGCTCGGCCCCATGCAAAGAGCTGCTGGATGGATGCAATTAACTGGCAGGCTGGTCTGTGGGCTGTACTTTGCCCACCCCTGGTCTACAAGACAATTCAGTCACTATAGTGTGAACATATCCTAATTTTTGTGGTAGCCTTATTCTGCCATATGGTGCTTCAGTGCTTTTAATTACCATTCTCCATCATATAGACATGACACAGACCCATTATATGAACACTGCAATTAATGTCAAGCCAATGTATGAGAAAAATGATAATGGAAACAAGATGGTAATATTAATGAAGTGTATGTATGTGTGCAGGAGTTGCTCAAGGTATGCAGAAGGGTAGTGTCGCCTCAAATTTCTCTGCAGGGAAATAGGGACACTGATAGATTTGCCTACAACCACCGAGAAAATACGTATCAAAAGCTCTTGGTTTCCCTTTCTGAGTTCAGCAAGATCATTAGGAAAGAATCCTCAATCTTTATGATATAATTGATTTTCTAAATCTTTAATTTAATGTTAATCTGCTGTTGATCTTTAAACTGATTTCATGATCCACCAGTCACTCTCGATGTAAAAAGCTGTCTTCGGAGAGCAGCTGATAGCTGTGGTAAAGCAGAAAAAGTAAAATTTGAATCTCTGCAGGTGGCATGAATGCCACAAAATTCTCCACTTACAAAGAACTGAAAGCAGGAATGTCTCAGGAATATTACGAAACATTTAACCTCCACATATTTTGCTTCTCAAACATAGTTATCCAAAACTTTAAAACATTTTTGTCATACAAATGTAAATAAACATGCCTTACCTTAATAAAAGCTCCTAAAATCAAAGAACTTGACAATAACAATGAAACACAACTATATATTTTAAATGCCAGTATTTACATTGCTTGGATATCTGCACAGTATTATACTCAGTTTTCAAAAGTGACTGATAAGTTCAGGTGCTAAACTTGAGGCATCTTTAAAAGGCCATTATTTTCTGAAAAAACCAACGTGAAAATTTAAACTTATAAGATTTTTAAATTAAAAACTTATATTGGAGGAAAAAAAGGGGGGGGAACTTAATCATGTACACCTATGTCAGAGACAAGAATAGCTCTGTTTCTACTACATAGTACTTGCACTCAATAAGACAGTAGTCTGCCACATTTCATAGGCATCTGATATTATATACAAAGAAAAAATAGTCTTCCTTACTTTCCTTATTTTTCATCTATGTGAATCAGGAACAAAACCAGCCATTTCAATGAAAGAAGTAAATGTTTTGGAAAGCCGTAAGATGCTGATAAAACCCTTCTGGGATCCTTGGACAGTCACCTATAGG